CTAAGACATGACCTTTGAACTCTGGCTCCTGAACCCCTCCCCATCAGAACATCTGCAGGAGGAGAACCCCCCCTGCTCTAAGACATGACCTTTGAACTCTGGCTCCTGAACCCCTCCCCATCAGAACCTCTGCAGGAGGAGAACCCCCCCTGGTCTAAGACATGACCTTTGAACTCTGGCTCCTGAACCCCTCCCCATCAGAACCTCTGCAGGAGGAGAACTCCCCCTGGTCTAAGACATGACCTTTGAACTCTGGCTCCTGAAGGGGAACCGGATCAGCCAATCAGAACGCAGCAGGCTGAGCGTCAGCCTCTAACAGAAAAACAGAGATCCGTCTGCAGTGACGTCACCATCCCAATCTAATTAGTCACTCAGAAACGTCACTCAGCGTTAATCCTCCAATCTAACGCCTCTGGCTGGCTTTTCCCTCCACTTCCTTTATTTTTATTTATCACTTTATTTCATTAAGCGCGCTGACGTCATGCTGTCTGATAAAATACCAGAATCCAATGTTTGGTTTATTCTGACAGCAGCAGCCGCGGAGGATGCAGGCCTGCCTCCCTCCCTCCATCCTCCTCCTCCTCCATGGATCCTGGATCCCGCTCCGCATCCGTCCGAACCCGAACCTGGAGCCGAACCTGCAGCCGAGCCGGCGGGTCCTACCTTCTCCTGTGCGCGGTTCAGCCGTTTCTGCACGTTCTTCGCAAAGATCCCAGTTTTAATTTCCGCCATGATGCCTGCAGAGGACGGAGGATTACCGGGAGGGGAGGGGGCGCGTGCAGGGGGCGTGTCTGAGGGACATCCAGCAGCTGATTGGTTCTTCCTCCTAAAGCTGCAGCAGTTCTATCCTGATGATGTGAAGCTTTTCTCTCATTCATTCATGGGTCACACCGGCAGGGGGCGCTAGAGCACCACTGAGGAACAGGGTTACCATGGGATTCCTCCCAGTCTGACCAGTTTAACCAGTCAAAAACGGAAACTACCTCTGTTTTGCCATTGAAAATCAAAAGCAACAATAAAATAAAAAAGAATCAGGGAAATCGAAAAACGAGACGTTTTTTTTTTTCATTTAGTTTTTCTGTTTTTTCATTTCTAAATTTACAAAAACGGAAAAACGGCTTTGATTTCCGTTTTTGTCAATTTAGAAACGAAATGTCTAGGAAATGTCTAGGTAGGATGGAGGTTGAGATGAAAACATGTTGCTTTTAAATGTAACAACAAAGATTGTAAAATGTGAAAACCTGAGGGTTATGCGTAATGACGTAGCTACCCACTGCATGCTGCGGCACTGAGTGACGTCCCGTTCAGATTATGAAAATAATTAATCTGACCAGCTGCCACATCACCTCTTCTCCATAGAGAAGGTTCACATGTGCAACTTGCAGATGAACTTTTTATCAGCTGAATGATTCAAATAAATCATCTTAAAGAACTTGAAGAAGTTCCTTGCTTTGTTGATTCTTCACTGTGGTTTGGAGAGGAGTGACGTCATCTTTAATCTTTTCTGGACAATCAGCTCAGGGTTCCAGCAGAGGATCCTCAGCACAGAACCAGCTTTCCGGATCGGTTTGTTCAGCAAATAAGCAAGAATTGCACTTTCTATAACAGAATTAGAAGCAACAGGCAATGCAGCTCATCTATTGGTTAGATTGGATCTGAGTTTTCTTATGAATAAGAATCTCCACCTGCAGGCTAATCAATAATGGCAATTTTTAAATATATAATAACTTTATTTGAACAGTAACAATGACAAACTCAACCAGTACAGTATAAATAATCATAACATATAGTCAATTATACCTCCTAACACTTTGCCTAATATTATTGTTCTTGTCTTTCAGTTGCAGTGTAAACAGATGTTTACACAACATGTTTATGCAATACACTTCAGAAAGAGAGAAAATCCAAAGATATCTAATTTCATATGTTGAATATAACAGAATTATAATGAAAGATAAATGAATAAAATAATATAAATGAATAAAATAATATAAATAAACAAATAAATAAATAAAAAGCCAAGTAAGCATTATTGTTTAATTTGTATGGAGGGATTGCTGAAATAAATTATAGAGGTGATATGACACATTTTTGCTTTAGGTTTTTGAATTTTGTCTAAGTAAAGATTTAGAAGATGGATCTCCTGTTTAATTTCAGACCATAACCGAAAAACGGAAGTAGTTTCCGTCTGTCGTCTTGGTTTTCCGGAAAAAAAAATAAATTGCCTGAAGGTACACAGACCTTCCTCCCAGTCTGACCAGTTTAACCAGTCCACATCAGTCAGGACCAGCGGTCCATGTACCTTCAGGCAATTCACTTTTTTTCCCGGAAAACCAAAACAAAAAACTACTTCCGTTTTTCCATTTCAAATTAAAACCAGAAAAACGGAAATCAAAGACGTTTTTTTCAACACAAAAACCAGAAAAACTAAATGAACAAAAACGGCCCGCTTTTAATTGTTACGGTTCGTTCTTTGTTTTTTCATTTCAAAACAAAAACAAAAAAACAAAACAAGCATGTGGTTTTTCTGTTTTTCCGTTTTTAAAACCTAAATCGAAAAAATGAAAAATGGAGTGAATAGAAAATGAACAGCGTTTGAGTTTTGTTTTGCCATCTAAATGAAAATAAGATACGGTTTTAATATGTAGCGGTACCGGAAATGAAGTAAGTCGCCAAAGAAAAATCATTTACAGTGGAGGAAGACGGCATCAAAACAAACCATTTCTAAACAAAAGGCAGCGGCTGCACTGGAACCATTTTCTGCATTGATCATCGAACGTTTTGAAAGAGGAAAAACACTCTGAAGTGGAACATTAAAGACGTCTTGTTGATGGTCAGATTATTAGTTTTCAATAAAATGCACCGATTCCCTCTAAATAACACAAACGTTTCCATTTCGGTAGTGCTAACTGAAAAAGTTCTCCTTCTTGTGGATTTTAA